TGAGAAATGACGATTACATGACGTCATGGTGTCGCCCATCCCCGTCCATCATGATATGTTTTTTTCTTCTTGTACGATATTTTCCCAAAACGTGACTTTATATTCCCAGTTACGAGAAAATAGTGTGTGTTGGTTATATGAATATTGCACAAATTCCAATAGTGGAGGAGACGGCGTTGTTTCATTTACAAAAACAAATCAGGGATCGGCTGACGACGATGCTGTAAAACATTTTAATGGGAAGTACATATTTTAGACTTTTCATGATGTTGCTTTAAAGTGACTACCAGGTTTATTAAAAATATTTGTGTAAGTGAAAACGTGCTCAAGATAAATAAACAAATGCGGATTCACGAATTCAAACGCCACAGTCGTCGCGATGCCGCGTCGTGTTCGATGTGGGTCCCATGCGACGATTACATCGCATGTAAAATACATGGTTTGTTTACACATGATTCATTATGCGTCACTTTTAAAAGTAATTCTTACCATTGTGTGAACAACTGTGTTTTATTTTTTTTAACTGACAATACTGGAAGTATCATTGACGTATTCACTGATTGGTCGAAGAGATGTCGCGCCCTCTAGCGACAAAGCGCTTGAGTGACGTAAAATGACGTAAATTTGTGAAAGGTAAATCCTTCAAAGCGTAGTTATGTAGTCGTTAGTTACATAGACTATGGTAAATCCTTCAAAAAAATAATTTTCTATCTGCATTGATCAAAACAATATGGACGTTTTAAATAGACTTCCATTCACGTAATAGACGTGCTTAATCGCTAGAGGGCGCGACGGGGAATGAAGTATTTGTTGCCAAAATTCACTCAGACACCCAATTTGTTAGCATCCTGGTCCCAATTCAAGTCTAGTCTGGGCTACGTCACTTGTAATGCAGCCCACCCTATTCCTGTCAAGGTACGTGCATTGTTCCTAGCAACAGTTGTTCACGTGCGAAGAACTGGACAAGTTCAAATTTATGACCTTTCGAATAAAATACAGGACGCATTACGGTATTCCCACGGGCAGGACACATGGGCGTTTCACATCTAAACACATGGTTAGCAGAGTGACGTTGATATATAGCCTAGCTTAATACTGACATTTACCTTGTACCGTCTTTTAGTATAATTGACTATGTAAATGTGGATCATTAAATGCGGCTCGAAGATCTAAAGCCTTCCTCATTATTAGAGCTATCATAGTTGATGTATGAATATGCATACTTCGATAGCTGTTAATGTTAAAACCATATAATCTTGCGTTTATCTTATTTATTACTCTCGTTTGTTACAAAAATAGGTAAATGGCTCTTCTCGATTACAATCACAATAATATATTCATCAATATCGCGGTGGTGAAGATGGTCTCCGTCTCCGGGGAGAGTACTCGCATAGAAGAAGTACTGATATCGGCTCCGACGTGCTTTTCTAAACATTTTACGGAACTGTGAGTCCTCTTTTTCAGAATGATGTAGAATTAACCCCCCCCCCTTTTTTTTTAGGGTCATGTAGAACTCAACTGTGATTTCCATTGACTCTGGAGACCGAAAACTGAACCAATATAATGTCTATGATGGGGATATATGCAAATGTAATTACGCATGCATGACATTTGATGCTTGATTTCGTGGAATTAAATGAAAAGTTTGTTAAATATAAAATATTATGTATATTATTTTTATTATTTAGCGATTAACTCTACTCTAGTCAAACTGTGGAATTTACACCCCGCACAGGAGATGGGCGGTTTCGCAGTCACTCGCACCGGCACGTTTGCTTTTCAAGTGAAGTAGGATTTAACACGTACTTGTATTTGGACATGAGATGAAAACATGTGCGTTACATGCGCACAAGTACAGCAAAGTTGCGCACAAATATATCATAACATCTATATCAATGTTTCAGGCTATGTTTTGAGTTATTGTCATAAAATTAGGTTAGTTACAAACATGATCGTTAACACTTCCCGACATGCAATTTTTAATGGATTTTATCGTATCTCCCCTGGCTGTTTCAGTGACTTGATAGCGCAACACTTTAGGAAATCACAACGTCTGGGCGACAACTTGTCGTGGGAAATTAACAATTTAATGTTTTGAGTTAGTTTTATAGTTATCGACGTCTCGGGATGATTCACCATGGTATTGGACAATCGTGATGTCAGGTCCGTATTTTTAAATCAGCGGAAATGTGTATACCATACAGTGAATTGCATCGATGTCTATAACGGTGACACATTCAGGTTAGCTTGAACATACGTAAGTCGAATTGAATCGAACTGAACTCGATGAAAGTCAATAAAATTGATATAGGAAGAAATTAATCGAGATGGCTTAAATAGAAGTGGATCAAACTGACCTAAATGGGAGCGATTGGATTGAAGTGAATCAAACTGATCTGGGAAAAATAAATTAATTGAACTGACCTGAGCGGAAGTGATTCAAAACGAAACAAGTGAAAGTGAATCGAACTGACCTAGGTGGAAGTGATTCTAACGGGCCTAGGTAGAAGTGATTCTAACGGGCCTAGGTGGAAGTGAGTCTAACTGGCCTAGGTGGAAGTGATTCTAACGGGCCTAGGTGGAAGTGATTCTAACGGGCCTAGGCGGAAGTGATTCTAACGGGCCTAGGTGGAAGTAAGTCTAACGGGCCTAGGTGGAAGTGAGTCTAACGGGCCTAGGTGGAAGTGATTCTAACTAACTAGCCGAGGTGGAAGTGATTCTAACGGGCCTAGGTGCAAATGATTCTAACGGGCCTAGGTGGAAGTGAGTCTAACGGGCCTAGGTGGAAGTGATTCTAACAGGCCTAGATGGAAGTGAGTCTAACGGACCTAGGTAGAAGTGATTCTAACGGGCCTAGATGGAAGTGATTCTAACGGGCCCAGGTGGAAGTGATTCTAACGGGCCTAGGTGGAAGTGAGTCTAACGGGCCTAGGTGGAAGTGAGTCTAACGGGCCTAGGTGGAAGTGATTCTAACGGGCCTAGGTGGAAGTGAGTCTAACTAACTAGCCTAGGTGGAAGTGATTCTAACGGGCCTAGGTGGAAGTGAGTCTAACGGGCCTAGGTGGAAGTGATTCTAACGGGCCTAGGTGGAAGTGGTTCTAACAGGCCTAGGTGGAAGTGATTCTAACGGGCCTAGGTGGAAGTGATTCTAACGGGCCTAGGTGGAAGTGATTCTAACGGGCCTAGGTGGAAGTGATTCTAACTGGTCTAGGTGGAAGTGATTCTAACGGGCCTAGGTGGAAGTGATTCTAACGGGCCTAGGTGCAAGTGAGTCTAACCAACTAGCCTAGGTGGAAGTGATTCTAACAGGCCTAGGTGGAAGTGATTCTAACGGGCCTAGGTGGAAGTGAGTCTAACTGGCCTAGGTGGAAGTGATTCTAACTGACCTAGTTGGAAGTGAATCAAATTGACCTAGACGGAAGTAAATCAAATTGACCTAGTTGGAAGTGAATCAAATTGACCTAGTTGGAAGGGAATCAAATCGACCTTGTTTGAAGTAAATCAAATCGACCTGCTTGGAAGTGAATCAAATCGACCTAGATGGAAGTGAATCAAATTGACTTAGGTGGAAGTGAATCAAATTAACCTAGTTGGAGGAGAATCAAATCGACCTAGATGAAAGTGGATCAAATTGACCTGAGCGGAAGTGAATCAAATCGACTTAGATTGAAGTAAATCAAATTGACCTAGACAGAAGTGAATCAACTTGACCTAGACGGAAGTGAATCAAATTGACCTAGTTGGAAGTGAATCAAATTGACCTAGTTGAAAGGAAATCAAATCGACCTTGTTTGAAGTGAATCAAATCGACCTAGTTGGAAGGGAATCAAATTAACCTAGTTGGAGGTGAATCAAATCGACCTAGATGGAAGTGAATCAAATTCACCTAGATGGAATTGAATCAAATTGACCTAGATGAAAGTGGATCAAATTGACCTGAGCGGAAGTGAATCAAAACTACTTAGATGGAAGTAAATCAAATTGACCTAGACGGAAGTGAATCAAATTGACCTAGACGGAAGTGAATCAAATTGACCTAGTTGGAAGTGAATCAAATCGACCTAGTTGGAAGTGAATCAATTCGACCTAGTTGGAAGTGAATCAAATCGACCTAGATGGAAGTGACTCAAATCGACCTAGGTGTAAGTGAATCTAATCGACCTATACGGAAGTGAATCAAATTGACCTAGACGGAAGTGAATCAAATTGACCTACATGGAAGTGAATCAAATTGACCTAGACGGAAGTGAATCAAATTGACCTAGATGGAAGTGGATCAAATTGACCTAGCTGGAAGTGAATCGAACTGAACGAGATTGAAGTTAATTAATCTTAAGTGTATCTATTAATATTATGATTTTTTAAAACAATGAAACTCACATCGCCTAAGAAATGTATGTAGATTATATATTTGAGTCTGGGTGTGTTGAGTTACAGATTTCATTGTTTTCCTTATTCATGACCTGAAGCGGTGATTATTGAGTGCTTATTTTTTATCTGGTAATATTATTATCGTCATATTTGTTTATTTTGCGTTCAGATTCCAGTGCATTACTTTGTTTAGTCTCTCTTCCTATCCCTCTGTACTACTCGCGTGATTAATAATACAACGAAATGAGAACATAAATGCATCATGAATTATGAGTCGCATTTCACGCTTTGTTGTAAAATATGGCGGAAATTACCCGTTTCTGGAAGGAAATGAAAGGAATTCAAACTTGTGAATAGATGAGAAATAAATTTACAACACTGCTGAATTAAACGCGCTCGCATTTTTGTTCTACCATACATTTATTTGGATTTATGAGTGTTGTTGAGGTTTACATGGCTGTATTTTATTAAATGTCCTATTACGAGCAGTGCATATTTGAGATAATATAAATTTATTAGAATTTGTTACAGAAAAACCCACATCACTCACTTTGAGATAAAAATAAAATAAATGACAATCTACCACAAAAACATATTCCATCCCAGAAGAATAATGAGCCATTCCTTACCCGATAGGTTGCTTCGTCCATCATCTCCAAACAGTGCTTCATCTTAAATAATTATCTTTTTTTCTGTTGAATTAAAAACATATTAATTATGTATGATCGTAATTACGGGGTACAGGGCAAACAAAGAAATTGCTATATTAAAGCGAGAGGGTCGTCACGTGCGCACGCGCGGGAATTGGGTCACAAGCGACGATAACACACACTAAAAACGCAAAGGCTCATGGTTTGTAAACAATGACACGCTGAGAGCATTTGACACGCATGCGCAGGTGACGACTTCCTCGCTTTAAAATAAATTTTAAATAAATGGTATTTCAGCGCATATTAAGGCTGATAATATGTCTCAGGGGCCATTTTGAGCCAGTCCACAACAGCGTGAATTTTGTCTTGTGCTGGAAAACAGACTGGAAATATGAGACACTATGATACAGTGTACGGGGTACACTAGAACGAGCGAGGGTTGGAGTTCCCGCGAGATGTAGTGTATATGATAACGGCAACAAATTTATCAATGTGCCCTGCAAAGACAATAAACCAACAATATTGCGACTACAGTAGCCTAGTTACACACAATAGTATTAATACTAAGTTCGACGACTAAGAAATGAAACTATTGTCGCACCATCCATCTTCGTTGAAATTTG